TAAGAGGAGGCTCGAAGTGGGGGGGGGCAGGGACTCAAATTTTTAGTTTACTCACCAAAGCTGTGCATGGGGGGGGGGAGGGACATTTCTGATCAATCTGTGTTTTTGTAAACAGCTTAGTGGTTTAGGTATTTGGCTGCAGAGCCAGAGGTTGGGAGTTTGATTCTCCCATGGGGCCTCCTGGGAAAAGAGCCAGCCTGGGTGGCCTTGGGCCAGCTGCACCGTCCCAGGACACCCCCAGAGGAAGGGAATGGGAAACCATTTCTGAATACTGTCTACCTAGAAAACCCTGAAAAGGGTCACCATAACTCAGAATCAACTTGATGGCACACAATTATTAATTCATTCATTTTATTAGAACCCGAGAATTTAATTTGGGTCATTCCAAAGGCTCTTCCTCTAGCATTTTGGTTCAAACTGTGACCAGATAGACATTATTATTTATTTTATTTCATTTTATTTTATTGCAATGTGTCCGTCCTTTGTTGCTCTTTCCAATAACTCTTATACATCGATATACTGCTGCTGATCGTGGGGGCTCCATGTTGCTGCCAGGGGTAAAGTCCCCTCTTCCATAAATTGTCCAGTCTTCTTTTTAAAAGCTATCTATAACCAGTGGCAGTAGATAGACTCTCAGGACAGAACTCAAGGAGATTTTATTACTTTATTGGTTCCCTTCTTATCCCTTTGTTTCCAAGGAGCTTAGAGTGGCATGTATGAGTCGCCCACCACCACCACCACCATCCCCATTTTAACCTCACAACGACTCCTGTGAGATAAGAACAAAGAAATAGTGACTAATCCAAGGTCATCTGTTGAGTCTGCTTAGTGGCTGAGTGGGAAGTTGCACCCTGTTCCCAGTCTTAATAGGAGACAATGAAACCACACAAGCTATCAAGTCTAATTTAGCCCTTAGTAAATTTGTCATGTCCTTCCCTCTTTTTCCATGGCTGCTTCTAAAGATGTTCAATAGCTTTTGCTATCTGGATAGGGTGGTTATGGGATGGATGAAGAGGCGACTGAAGACTAGGGGAAGGAGGCAGATACTTAAATCTCTGTGTGTGTGCATGTTAACAAAAAGTTTTTAAAAGCCCCTTTGATTCCAGAAAACAAGACTTGTTGTCCTTGATAAACAAGGACGGCCCGGAGAGGAAGCTCTGCACACTGGTGTGTTTGTGGGAGGGATGGTTGCCTTCTATTTCTGGAGCGTCCCTTTGCATTTAAAGAATTTCATGTGACAGGTTGGGAGTTGGGGGGGCTATTTTTGGCCTCTGAAAGCTCTCCTTCCAAAGACTCGCTGCCCATGCCTCCAGTGCCAAGGGCAACAGGCACCACACCATGCCACGCCGCAAAAGCTTTGCCGTGCTACTCCCAGCATGGCTCCATCTCCAGCATAAGCCGCCTGCAAGGTAGGACCCGCCGCACGTTCGTTCCCCCCCCCAACTCCCCTGCCCTACCCCAGATCATATTTGCTTCTGTCTTCTTCCGAGGTGACCACTGTCTCCGGCTTGGGAGAGGCTGAAGTGCCCTCAAGGAAGCTGTTCTGACTCTTCCGGTAACTGAAAAGGTCAAGACGGAGGGTTTATGTGTGTCTCCGGCTATGTCATCAGAGTAAAGCAATGGAGAGAAGAAGTCGTCCAGGAAGTATGGGAAGGGGGTATTTTTAAAAGGCACCTGCAACGCTCTCCCGTTCCCTGGCCTGGTGGACTTAGCAAACGCCAGGACGAAGCCTAGAAGGTCATGCCGGCTGATGACTACACCTAACCCCATGCCTGTCATTTTGAGACAATAGCAAATACAACAGACTTTCCTAATGAAAGCACCCATAGGGGTTTGGGTCATGCCCCACATTGCCTCTGAGCACTGGAGCTCGTTGCTTGCTCCAAAAGGTCCCTGAGAGAAAGAAAAAGGTGCCCAGACCTGGGGCAAGGGGTAGGTTTTAGCCCATCTGAGCTTAAAAAAGGCATCAGGCTTCACTTGTCCCCACAGGAATAAAAGGTAAAAGGGTGTCATTGGGGATCTCCCAGGAGGGGATGAAGTTGCTCTTTGACTCTGGTTTCCGAGGTCATTGCAAAACCACCTCTTCCCACCTGTGAGTTCCCACCCCTTCAGTTTACAAAACCCATCTTGGCTTCTTTTTTCATGCTAATGTGAGGCAGAACTTAGGGGAGAGGTAGTGGAATATTGTTAAGTAATGTTCTGTCCTATAGAACAGACTCTTTATATAAGACAATTCGTTTACATTGTTCTGTATTTACACGATGGTATCAGTTCGAAGAGGTGTCCAGGGAAGTGTAGTGGATAGAATGACAGAATAGGATAGGAGCCCTGGGTTCGAATCCCCACTTGGCCATGGACACTCACTGGCGATGTGGGACTAGTCATACCATTCCTTAAATATCTCACTTCCCTTAAAAATCACTATAAGCCAATTCCTACTTGGTGGCACATAACAAGTCAATTCCAGAGTAGCTTACAGTCATCAAGAATTAGGCAACCCCTGCCTTCAGGGTTATTATCTACAAGAAACCAGACATAAGGAAAGTGGGATGGGGAGAGAAGAGGGGGGCAAAAGCAATGCAATAGATTTTTTTTTGTGGAAATGGAAAAACTGTTCTGCACCCAGTTCTCTTCAGGTTTGTATCCCTTCTTCAAGGTTGGCTTATTCTTTGCTATTATCTGCCCCTGGCCCTCCTCCTTTTCTGCTGTTCCTCTTCTCCCTTTTCCTTTCTGTTCATGAGTTCCTCTTGCTTCACCCATCCCCTCAGGGCAAGACAGTTCCTCAGCAGCTTTACTGATAGAGGCTTCTGATATGGGTGGTCCAGGCATCTCCCTCCTCCCATCCCAGAGAAATTTCAACTGGAAATAGACATTGGGGAAACAACAGGAAGAGGGGAATGAGGTTTAAGAGGGTAAGTGAGGAACCTGTAGCCCTCCATCTGTTGTTGGTCTCTTCACTCCCAGTGTCCCTAGATATTGGCCAGAGCTGATGGCCACTGAAAGTTCAATCATACCTGCAAGTCAGTCAGTTCTCTGGCTTTGATTAGGAGAAGAGACCGGACAGGAATTGTGGGTTTCGAGAAAGGACTGGAAGAAAACTTTCCCAGAGATCTTCCATGAGCTTTAGCAAGCCACAAATGCAGCCTCTCTCCCTCCAGCTGTGATCTAAGAATAACAACAGCAGCCCACCTTACATCCTTAGGGAGCTACCCAGGATGGAATATATGTGGAGAGTTTTGGCCAAGGACTTGCGCTCTCAAAATTTTCCAGTCCATCTGAGAGTTATTTTTTTTCTTCATCATCTTCCTTCCCTTGTAATCCCACCATCCCTTCCCAGATGGAGAACTTTGAGTACAGCATCCTGCTGAATGACAGGGACTGGGCTGAATTCTACTTGGCCTCTGAGGAATGCAGCTTGATTCCGCCAGCCTTGGCCACCGCTGAAGAGCAGGTCCTCAGCGACCTTGAGGAAGGGGAGGCCGAGGAGAACAGGTTGATCCGAGTGAGGGTGGGCCCTGTCCCGCCTGTCCCAGTGCACAACACAGCCAGCTGCCTTTCACACGGAGTCCCGGATGCATGCCTGTTTGCAGAAGACGTTTTGTCTGGCAGCGAGGACGAAACCGATCTGGGCTCGGTCAGCAGATTTCTGTGTGGCAGCAACAACCTCCCAGCTAGTGCAGGTTTTCCTCAGTCTTCCTGTCCTGGGGAATATCAGCTGCCCTGCGCTGCTCCGAAACTATTGCAAGGCCAGTGTGGGGAGGCAAGACCGGTTGCAGGACTGGAAGCTGTGTTTGCTACCAAAGAAGGAGAACCAGAGAGAGGACAGAGGCCCATAAATTCAGACTGTCCATCAACCGTGGAGGCAGCTTCTCCCCTCCAAGAGGAGAACCTGCGGGAGCAAAGCCCTGGGCATCAGGGGGCAGAAATACCTGGTTGTCCTGTAGGTATAAGCCTGGAGGCCACAGAAGGGATGGAGCACCCTGCGGGAGAAAAGGAAAATGCTCCCCTCTCTTCAGAGTTACAGCTTCCTAAGGAGGAGAGTGTCTCTGTGGATGTCCCACTTCCAACATCCATAGAGAACACGGCAGTTTTGGGAAATGCAGAACCCCTTGCTTACCCAAGTTCCGTGTGCTTTTGCTCTCCCCTGGCTCCAGAACTTGGAGGAACTGAAGACCCAGAGAAGAGTGCCAAGCCCCTCCAGGTGGTCTTGACAGCAGAGGCAAAACCATTCCAGGAAAAAAAGCCTTCCTTGTTTCAAGAGCATTTGGTTCTGGCTGGAAAGGCCTTGGTGTCACTGGATCCGCTGTCCGAGAGTCACACGGAAACCCCTCCAGAGAGGGTGAGCCAGAGAGAAAAGAGTGCCATGGATCTCAAGGAGGGCAAAGATGGTAGGAAGGATGTCAGCTCTTCCATCCTGGAAGGACGCCAAGCTGACCAAGGGAGGCTCTCTACCTGTGATAAGGTGGAGCAGCCATTTCCAGGTGGACTAGAAGGAAACATGCCTCTAAACCCAACACAAGCAGCTGCTTCCAGCTGTGAGAAGACTTTGGATAAGCACAGAGAAACAGCTGCATCAGCAGGAATGGCAGAGGACGGCAGAGGCAAAAAACACAGTCTCCATCTTGGTATGGATGCATCCGTTCAAGAAGGACCTTATCCTGTAATTGAAGGAGGCAGGAGATCTGAATTTGGGAGGAAACCCATTCTCTGTGGCCTGACAGTAGAAGACTCCCTGGAGAGTCATTTAACTGACTTGACGTTGGCAGAGATGTATGACTGTTTTTGGGGGGATGATGGCAAAGAGGAAGGAGGAAAGGTGGGGGACGGACATCCATCCTCCTACACTGCCACAGAACTACCCGAGATGGATGGTCCTGAAATGTATGAATATTTCTTCAGTGAAATGGACGTTGCGGAAGAGGGTCTGAGGGACGAAGCCTCTGAGACATTCCTCAGCTCTGACCACCAGTCAGCTCCACCTAGTGGTTCAGAAGACCTAAGCTCAGAGGTGGCCGCTGGCGCCATGGCTATATCCATCCCGGAGGTTTATGAACACTTTTTTGCCAGCGGCACAAGGGACAGGAGAAGCTGGAGGGGGTTCCTCCTGAGTGTGCCCGCCGCAGAGGCAAAGAAGGCCGCACGGGCTTTAAAATCCCTCCTACGCAGACCTGCAAGCCGCCTCCGATCCCAGCCCATGAGCCCTGGGGCTCTCTTACGGAGAAGTTCCCAGGGGAAATTAGTGCTGCTATCTCCCAGGCTTTTAGATGAAAGCCGACTAAGACCACAAGATGGAAGGATGACTGTGATGCAACCAGGTAACAAATCATTTTCTCTTATAGAGGCGGACTTCTGCTTCTAAGCGTTGGCTTCTCTGATCATTTTTACATCTCTAAACAAACACGCACGGGTTGAATGAAGGCTTCATACATCTGAGGGATCATTATTGAGAATAATCCAAATATTTATGTCTTGTAATAGTATATCCAGATGGATTATTTTAAGGCCTTTGTTAAGGAGTACACCATTCAGGAAAGGGGGGACACTCTGGACTTGCTCAGAGATGCATTTGGCTAAAGAAGAAGCTACCGTAGTTCATTTCCTTAAGGAATGGATTTGCCACATGTAACTAGAGTCACTATGCCTGAATTGCAGGAACATTTCAAAACAACATTGGAAACCTTTGTATCTCATTGAGTTAGATATCTGGCAACAGAGCCAGGGAGTTCACTTCCCCACTGTGCCTCTTGGGAGGAGAACCAGCCTGTGTAGCCCTGGTTAAGCTTCATAATCCCAAAACATCCCCAGAAGAAGGAAATGGTAAAGGGCTTCTGAGTTTCTATCTAGAAAACCCTGGGAAGGATTGTGATAAGTCAGAATTGACGTGATCACATGTAATTATTAATAATAATTGTTCACAGGCTGTGCCATGAATTCTAGTCTTATTATGGAAATATTGGCTGATGCTGTGAAGTTGTATATGAGACCTTTCCTATGGAGTCATAAAACCTGAAAAACAGAACATTTCATAAAATGCTGGGATTTGGGGTAGAACAGAGAAAGAAATATGGCCAACAAGATTCAAGGAAACTGCCATTTCTCTTGCTGTACCTCTTACACTCACCTAGCCAGTGACCTCACTATTCACATAGCAAGGCTATCTTGCCTTGGTGATGATGACCAGTTAATCAGCCAATCTTAAGGCCAAAAACAGGCCAACGATGGAAACCCATTTCAGAAGATGAAAACTAAAGTTTTCCAGAGAGAGCGAGAGCCATGATAAGTCCACCTTGAAGTCTCAGAGGATCTTAAATATTAAGAAATTTATTATGGTCTGAGCTTTGATGGGGTTTCATCCACACAAGCTTACGCCATAATGAACTTGTTACTGTTTAAGGTGCTATTAGACCCCTTTGTTTAAGTTTTACAACCGTGCTCTGAAGGTTAAACATTTCACTGCCCAATCGTGTGTATGTTTATCCAGAAATAAGCCTCTTTGCAGGTTACCTCCAGCCTAAGAGAGCATGTGATTAGACTTGCAACCTTGAGCGGGAAGGAGGAGCAAAGTCACCAAAGGGAAGCCATGTCCTGGAGAAATGAGCTAGGGAGATGAGCAAACAAAGCTAGTTAAACCTAACTCCTGTTGGTATTAATACACCGACTGACCTTCGGCCACTAAAAGTCATTATTGTTCTTGAATCTCAAAATAGAAATGAGTAATTGTTGTGACCCTTCAAGACACTGGTTAGAGTTGAATTGCAATGCCTCAGTAGAGATTAATTTCTGAGTGGGCAATGCTACAGGAGGACTTGGTTCCAGGATGAGCCTGAGCCCTCCTTCCCAGCAGGAGCTGGTGCTCTCTTGTTCGGCAGGAAGTGCTTTGTATGTACGTATGTAATGCTTATGCAGCATTGGCACCCAGAGAAAACTGGGGAGGGAGCCTGGGTGCTTGGACCTATCTTACAGTGAAAAGCAAGGCAAAGAGTGAAGAACCGGCATCATGACTCACGTGTCTTCCTGTTGCTGACCACTACTGGATATAGTTTCTAAGTCAGGATTATGGCCTGGAACCAAAATGTTCCCATATTGACCCAAGTTATAAGCAACCATTGTGGCACCCAAGGCAAGCATAAGTTGCCTAGTGCATGGGAACAACCCTCTATCCCAAAGAAAAAGAGGAGGGAAATGTAGCACAGTACAGTGGGGTCTTGACTTGAGAACTTAATCCGTATTGGAAGGCGGTTCTCAAGTCAAAAAGTCTGTAAGTCAAGCCGTCTGTAAGTCAAGGGTCCACTGTAGTTAAACTGCAGTAACGCAATCAAACCCTCTGCTGAGTTTAATCCCAACAGGCTCAGGTAGCCAGCTCAGGGTTCACTCAGCTTTCCATTCTTCTGAGGAGTACTTTCACATTATGTAGGGCAGCATGTAAGCAGCAGACTTTGCTTTGCTTTGCTTTTGGTGTCCCTTAAAGAAATATAAAATTACCACTATTTTTAAAAAAGAAAAGTGAATAGGGACAGTGTTGCTCTTTATTTTCCTGACGCTCACCAATTGATTCCTCTCTAGATTTTGGCACCCTATACATTTTGGTTCCCTGGAGCAAAGCCCCAGTTGCTTTGCCCTCATTACTGCCCTGCTAGTTGACACACAAAATAGTTTGTGAAAAGTAAACAGTTAAAGATGTCTAAATGCCTAGCATGACTCTGGAAAATATAAATAGCTGTTGATCCCAAAGGCAGACTTGAGACTGGGGCGTAGGGAGGATGGAGAGCAATGAAAGGAAATCAAAAGGCTGGAAAAGCCAGGGTTTCTCGGATGTTACTAACTGTGTGCTGGCTAGATATCTCAGTGAGTTAGGTATCTAGTGGGAATTCGATTCCCCCCTGTGCCTTCAGAGAGAAAAGTCAGCCCATGGAGCCTTGGGCCAGCTGCACAGTCCTAGGATGCCCCCAGAAGAAGGGAGTGGTGAACCACTTCTGATTTTTCTCTGCCTAGAAACCCCTGAAAAGGATCACCCAAAAGTCAGAATGAGGGCACATTATTTACTGACTCTGTCATAATTTAAGAGGACACAATATGGACTGTGGGTCATAACAACCTGGCAATGGGGTTGTGGCACCAGAAAGATCATTTTGGAAACCTTTTCAGTGCAAGCCTTGAGAAGGCAGATCTGGAGTCAGTCCAAATTTAAAAGAAGAACAGGAACAAGAAAAAGAAATTGAATCCTGACATGTGGGGAAAGGAGAAGAAGTTGGTGGGGATCAAAAGGCAGAGGCCGGAAGGAGTCACGCTTTAAACAGTTGCATTTTTCATGAGGTTGGCTCAGATATGATGTGAGCAAGAGAGAGGCAGCTGCTCTTAGTCTTCCTTTGAAAATAAATAACTCCATTGGTTCTGCTTTCTCCCCGCCCCCCACAGAGAGACCCCTGTCCATCCAGCCAGTTCTCACGCCCAGAGACATGTGCTTGGGCTTTGTGGCATTCGCTGCGTGGGCTGTGAAGACATCAGACCTGCAGGCCCCGGATGCGTGGAAGATCGGTAAGGCCCCTGGGCGGGAGAGAAGCCCTGCTCCTGGTGGATTTGGGGCAGAAGGGGGTGGATTTAAGCTTGAGAGATAGCCCAGGAATGTAAACATACCAGTTTCGTTACAGAACAAGGGCATTATGAAGGGCTAAAACTGTTCCTTCTATATTACAGTATTATTATTATTGTTGACACTTGTTTAAAGAAACTTCCCTTTCCCCCTGACCTCTTTTCCCTTTTCTCCACATTAAAAGTTCCTTGCACCAACCAGAAAGGCAAGCTCTTGGCTTCAGCCTTACACCTAAAAGAAACTGATTTATCTTGTGTGCAAAAAGAGAGAGAAAATACCTGTCCCCGGCCTCTATGCGTTTCTGCAGTAGCTTTTGGCTTGAATGAGTACCTGGTCTGGAAAGAGACAATCCCAGAACAGTGACTCATGCAGAGAAAACAACAAGGGGCAATTGTGCTAGATCCCTGTGCATCGTGCATAACTGAACAGTCCAACAGCATCTGCTGCACACGTATGGCATAATTTTTTTCCCCCTGACTGGAAGGTAATCAAGCCCAGAGCATTATTGCCTGCAGAGGTGCTGCTGCCATCCTCCCTTGGTGATTGTGCTGCCTTTCGGCATCAGGTGCAGCCAATTTACATGATCCAACATGGTGTAGAGGCATGTCAGAATACTTGCCCCTCCCCATCTCTTTGGAAGGAGACAAACCCAGACTACTGCATCAGACAGAAGGGGGACCTTGGATAATACTGGGCGGAGGACTCCACTACCTGACAACCCCAATTTTTGTTTAATGTTTTAAAAACAAGTGGCTAGTCCTCATCATTGAAAATATGTGATTGAAAGCGTGGGTGATGCCTGGAGGAATGCCAGGTGTCAAGTGAAGCTACACAGAAACGGGGTCAGCTCCTGATTTCTGCCTTATCATTCCTGGGAAGGGAATACATTATGCAAAACAGGGAACAGCTTCTGCATGAATTATACAAATTGAGAAGGGTTGCTTAGATTTTATAGTATATGTAGGATGTGGCATTTTGAGTGCTCGTGTGCTGACTTTCAACAAAGAAAAAAAGATGACTGTAGGATGTGTATTGCTTTGGTCTAATAATTTTGCCAGAGAGAGATTAGACCGCTTCATTTCTTGCGGACAACATAACTGTTTGTCTTTCTTTTATACCTCTGCTGGAGCTGTGAGCACAAACCCCTTCTTTTACCTCCCCAGTGTTGCTGGCAAACTTTGGCTCCCTCTCAGCCATCCGCTACTTCAGGCGGCAGGTTATCACGGAAGGATGGCATGGAACCTAAGAGACGCTGGCCACCTCCACCAAAAGCTGGTTGGATTGCTGGGGATGATTTGGAGAAAGCCCATGTGTTCTTTGAAGTTAGGGAACTGTCTTTTGCTGTCTTGTCTTCCTGGAAAACCAAACTCATGGATATACTGTATGTATATAACACCCTACCCGTGAAAAGAGGAAACGAAGCAAAGACAAAGATGGAATTATGCACGGAAAGTTATTTCCAGCTTTTCTGCCCCTACACAACCAGAGAGGCAACAATCCCCAAAGCTCCCATTTCTTCTCTCTTTCTCCATCAGGAATTTATCTTGAACCCATGGAAGGAGGTGGACTATAAATAAATAACCCAACAACCGTCTCCTTCGTAACTAGCTGGACAGCTGCATGCAAGAGACACACACCAGCTAAGGAGAAACTGGAAGGCGTTACCCTTTATAGAGAAGGACACTGGAAAAATTCAGAGACAAGTTTCATGTTCTCTAAAAGCAAAACACAAGTCACTAGAAGGAAGTTGTGATGGAATAGGGTGTCAGTGAGAGACGACGGATGCCAGAACAGAGGCATGTTGCAAACAGGGACAGCTTTAAATCAACAGTTCATATCTGGCTACAAAGTCAGAGGTTGAGAGTTCAATTCCCCACTGTGCCTTTCTGACAGGGAACTGGACATGACGGTTCATAAGGTCCCTTCCAGCTCTGTAGTTCTAAAATTAAGATGATGATTAAAAAGAAGAACCGAAGTCCACTATGTCACCTGAGGATTGAAACTTCAGGCTTAAAGGAAAGGTTTCAGAGGGGGGGAAATTGGCATGTAAGCTCCTTTGGAAGATTCTGAAGTGTCTAGAAGACATAACCATTTTCTATACAAAATAAGAGTTACATAATAGACATGTTTATGCTTGGAAGAAATTGTGTATTAGTACTGGCCAACATTTTCAACATTAAGACGTCTGTCCTTTTTTGCAGTAGCATATGTGACTTTGACAAAACATACTGACCTTTCATTACAGAAGAAAACAGGCAGAAAAAAAAAACAATTGGGCCCGTGGAACATCATAGCCACATGTTCTCTGAAGGCAGCTGTTACGACAAGCTATATCATTTGTACAAAAGGTGCAGATCTGGACCTGGAGTTATACAAAGAAGCTTTGGATTGGTGAATGTCCTCATTCCTGGGGTGGCAGGAAGCTGCTGATGTAATAAAGGTGTCTAAGGAAGAATTCTGTGTTACTTGGAAAAGTTTACAAGTTCCTGTGCTGATGGAAGGAAAGCCAATGAAACTTACGTCTCTACTTGCTTTGTGTTTGTGTGTTTCTCAGCCCAGCCTTCTGTGGTGTGCATTCAACTCTTAGTGTCTTCAGGACTTTAAAATTTGCCTGTCTGAATCCTGACATCTCAGCAAGAAAATATATGGAAAGGGCTTTGAACAGTGCAGTACTGATGTCCGTTCCGTAGTGTATTTGGTTGAGCTAAGATAATAAAACTTAAGTACTTGATATTCATTACTAATGCATTTGGAGGTGTTCAAAGCACTTTATGTATGTTATCTTGCTGAAGGGCTTGCAACAATCTTATGAAGTAGGCCAAGATTTTTTTAGGGCAGAGGGAAAGTATCAATGCTGTATGAAGTACACATAAGAAAATGACTGTACTGCCTAAAAATACAAGTGAGTTTCCTATTTCTGCATCTTCATGCTATGAACAGATTGTATAACAGTGTCTGGGTTCACAGGACCTGAAGCTACTTCCAGGAGTTCTGTGGAGCATTTCTTCCCTCTGATAACTGAGGATTTTTAATTTAAAAAGTTGATGACATTATCTGACACGCATAAACATACATACATTATTCTTGGGCTTTTCTGTTCTCTCAAAACATAGTTGTTTTGTTACAGTACCTGCAAGAAATCTGTTCTCCTAGCAACAATATACTGTGGTAAGCTGTCGCTGCTGTTGCAAAATATGAGTAGGGGTATAGGTTGATCTTTAATGGGCAATCCAGACCCATTAAATTTACAAAGGAACTGCTCCTAATGGAGGTGAAAACTGCTGGACCTGGTTTGTTTATATGGATGAACCCACTCGCTAGGAGCTGTAATAGGCTGTGCCATACAATTCTTAAAAGTACAGGAGCAATAATGGGGGGAGGGACGGGACTTGGCAACCTTACATTGGAATTATTCTTACTCTGAACTCTCACCATCTCTTCTTGCAACTGGATTCTTCAGGGGGGAGTGGAAGTCCTCCAATCTGCCACATTGCAGGAGGAAGAGAAAGAAGAGAGAGTCAAAGGGGCCTTCTTGGAGGTTTCATTGGAGCAGCATTTAATTAGCAGTTGCTCTCTTCTCCATGGATGGGGCCCAAATATAGTTACACTTAGAGGATATGCCATCATCCTCTTTACTAGATCCAGGTGAGATACAGGACCCTGGCAGACGAAGAGAGGGAACAAATTAGTGGAGTGTTGGAAATCTCAGCCAACAACAGGGAAACAAAATCCCAGGAGTTTCGACTGAGCTTGTTGGAGCAGCAGAGACCCAACAGGAAGCAACCAGCCCTGACATGCCTGGAAGGGGTTGTTCATTCCACTGACTTTTTTTTAAAGAGGAGGATTTATGGCTTTCCAAGTCTGACCCACAATTTTGGAGATTCAGCCTCCATCTCAGCCTCCAGAGGAAGGAATAAAATCTTAAGAACAAACTAGACACACCATTGATTGCTTTCATGCACTTAATATGCACTTTTTTGTTATTTATATGAATGTAGAGGGGAAACCCCGAGCAATTAAATATGCCCAGTGAGGTTTATCTCCTCCTTTCCCTAGTTCTGAAAAATATTTTCTCTTCAAAGCTCCTGTTTGTATCTTGAAAAAAAGCTCCCCTTTCCTTTAATATGATACAGGGAGGTACAGTTTCTGGATGGTTTGAGAGTTATTTGAATGATATTTTGAATATCATTGCTATGTGCTTGCACTGCTCTTTGTGGTAAAATCCCATGTTTCTAACTTTCTTGGGATGTAATTGAATAGAAGCAAAAAGCTCGGTTGTATTCAGAGCCTTGTTTAAAAAATGCTGTTCCTGCTCTATGAAGCAATCATAACCACAGCCTAACCTGAGATAGGACTGAATTCCTTTCATGCTTCGAAGTGCTGTTCTCAACCCTCTAGGGCAGTGGTTCCCAAACTTTGCTCCCCAGAGGTTCTTGGACTACAACTCTCAGAAATCCTGGCCGGGACAGCTTGTGGCCAAAGCTTCTTGGAGTTTTGGTTCTACAACCTCTGGGGACCCAAGGGTGGGACCCTCTGCATGTAGGTTATGAAGGTGAAGCAGGACCCCAGAGACCTGTGCTCAGCCATGCCCAAGAGGCACCTGCTCCAGCATCCCATTCCCACTGTGGACAACCGGATGCCTTTTAGGAACCCTCAACGGAGGGCAGGAGCTTAAGAGCATTAAGCACTACCTCACTCACCAACAGGGATACTCGGAGGCATGTTGCCTCTGAAACAGGAGCTGATAAGACAGCTGTACCATGATTGCATTATTCCCCCCCTCCTCACCCTCATCTGGTTGCCCTCCAAGTTAGTGGTTATCATGCTGCTCCTGAACCTGTTCCCTAGGATCCCAAATCTATTCCTATACATCTAAAATACACGCATTCCCATATATCCATACATCTATGTACTTTTGTTGATGTTGCTGTTGTTAACATGCCACCAAGTCACCTGCAATTTACCGTGACTGTATGAATGAACAGATTCCACAATGTCCTGTCCTCAACAGCGCCAATTAGCACTTGCAAAGTCAAGGCTGTAGCTTCCTTTAGGGAGTCATTCCATGTCCTCTTTGGACTTCCTCTCTTCCTGCTGCCTTCCACCTTTCCGGGGATTATTGTCCTCACCTTCTTAGGATGTGCCCAGTTTCAACATTTTTGCCTCCAGGGATAGTTCGGGCTTGATTTGCTCTTGGACCCATTTGTTCATCTTTCTGGCCATCCAGGGCCACAAAGCTCTCCCCCCACACCACATTTCAAGCGAATAATTCTTTTCCTGTCAGATTTCTTTACTTTCACACATATACATAGTAGTTGGGAATACAAGAGTGTAATCATCTTGGTTTTGGTCTCCAGTGACACATCCTTACCCTTGCTGATCTTTTCTAGTTGCCACCTTCCTTTTGATTTTTATTTATTTGTTTATTTATGGCTGCAGCCTCCATTTGGTTTGATGATTGAACCAAGGTACAGTATATAACATTTAAAACTATGTCCATTTCCTCATTGTCAGTGTTAAAGTCATCCAGTTCTTCTGTGGGTTTTTTTTTCTTTCTTAATGTTCAACAACACTCTCCCTTTTGCCCTTCTTTCTTTCATACAGATTTATGACCCCAACGTTTTTAAAATGCCCAGCAATGCCACTTCCAAACACCTCTGCAAATCGTAGCTAATGGCAAACTCCCTCCCAAGAAAATATATCCAGAGTGAAGGCAAAATTCCCTACTAAATACACTTTGCAGTTCTTAACCACTGCCAAGACAACTTGTCCACGTGCTACCCTAGCAATGACCTTGATGAGTTTATCCTAAGGTATAATCTTGCCAAGGCAAGTGAAATTGGCTGGTATTTAGAAGCACCAAGGGGGACAACGGGCTGCTTTCTACCGCCTCTGCCCTCGCCGGACATCTGACCGGAACTTTACTGCCAAGTGGATGAAAAAGTCAGACAGGTGCAGGGGATCATTGTCTCCAAGTTTCTGTTCATGATCTGTTCCAGCATCCCCTCTCCTAAGTGCCCTAGGTAGGTAGGTAGGTAGGTAGGTAGGTAGGTAGGTAGGTTAGGTAGGGAGAGAGAGAGAGAGAGAGAGAGAGAGAGAGAGAGAGATCCTGAAAAAGCAGCTGACCACAGCAGTAATCAAGTCCACCCAGCATTTAGCAGTAAAATCTCCACCACTATGGAGCACATATGCTGCAGTACAGTACAAAATACGTACAAATACGTAGATGTGCACAATATCTCAAAAAAGGGATGATGACTCACACAAAATCACGAATCGCACTTGAGTGAGGAAGGCTACGACCAGTGATTTTTTGTGACAGCTGAGTCTGCCATCCAGGGGCTCAAGGTCCCCCATCTCCCTATTGGGTTTTTTTTTTGGGGGGGGGGTTGTTTTTTGTTTTTTTTAGCCTGACTCTGAAAAAAGCAGAAAGCCAGCTCAGGAAGGAAAAGAAAATCCCCAGGTGGCCACAGATTCCATCCTTTGACAGAGAGTTTGCTTTGAGATTAGAGGTTTTCACATGACAGGACAAAGGCTACTTGGTCAGACTTCGGACATACCTGACTTAATGGGGAAACAGTCCTTTACATACTCAATCCAGACATTTGTAAAAGACATATTCAACCCCAGTAGAATACTTCATTTAATTTTTCTAAAGCAGAAATTGCCTCTTTCTTGGAGGGGGTGCCGTCTTCTCTTCCTTTTTTCTTGGTGAGGGATCACCCCGATGTTTTAGGCCTGACAAGTGGGAGATAGGGCTGGGTGCTTGGATTTCTAGTTATGGCTCTGACAAAAGAAAACATGGCATCCAGTCAGTTCCTGGAAAAAGAAGGTGCAGAAGCAGTTTGGTGACACCGCAGTCTGCATAAGGATGGTGCTGGTCTTCTATGAAGCCAGGTGGTCTTCACTGAACGGCAGCTGGGTCTTACAATCATATTAAACTGTCTTATGCTTATGTCATCTACTTCATCCTTTGTTATCTACGTTGCTTGACAGCACCTCTACAGAATCAGGTCTATCCCAAGATATTTTGCCACCTGAGGCAAAGGACGTAATGCCATTTTCGCTTCCTCTCTCCCTCCCCCACTCTACTCCATGTACAGAAGCTCACTGCACTATGAGGAACCGAAACCCCTTACACCATCACTGGCCATGGGAAAGCTTTCTCCACCAAGTTGAAGGCTGGGTCTTATTGAGTGGTGCAGGCCAGACTTTGCAACAAACCTAGCTTTGTCTTCCAAAAGAGGAGAAAGAGTTTAGAAACAATAGTTAGGGAATGGCAACTGCTGTCTGAGATAGTTGCCCCTTTATGCCTAATGGTAGGGCCGCCCCTATTGTTTGGCAGATATGCTGTCTAGGAAACTAACTTGGATAGTTCTTCACAAGTTGCAAGGTTCAACCAGAGAGTAAAAATGAGACCTTCTTAGATATATTACCTTTATTTGGAGTATGCTCTTCAAGGACATTTTCAAGAGAACTGTACAACATGTACATTCTATATATTTCCAGTCTTGATACAACCTCTTCCTTGCACACACATGCACACGCATACACACACAAAATCCTTCCCTAAAATCTCACCAAACTTTTTTCTAATACTGCTGCAGTTTTAGCCATGCAGATTTTGGCACCTATCCTTCTTTTATCTCTTGCTCTTCCACTACTGCCCTGCTTTGAAAGTATAAAAAGACCTAAAATTAAAATATTATACAGCAAAAAAAAAATATATCCCCAAGTGAGTTTAACACTGGACCAGCTGGGAAAAAAGCAGCAGTTTCTGGAACACTCCATGGTTCATCCATCGTTATAAAGCTGAATAGGATTCTGCTTTCCTTCCCTGCCCACAACCAGAGGGCACCCACATTCACATATTAAATAGAATATCAAACAAACGAAAAAGCTACATGTAAACTTTGCTGGAGATATATATATTTATATACATATATAAATCTTTTTAAAAGTTCAAGTAAAGAAAATACACCAGGTACTTTCCTGATGTGCTACCAATAAAACAAAATCAAGTCCAATGTAGTATATTGGTTTTTGGGTAGAGCTGGTTAAACTAGCCACATCATACTATTCCTCAAAGCAGTGGTTCTCAACCTTGGGTCCCTAGATGTTCCTGGACTAAAACTCCCAAAAGCCTTCACTATGACTTGTGCTAGCCAGGGAGTTGTAGTCCAGGAACATCTGGAGAGCCAAGGTTGGGAACCATTGCCTTAAAGGGATGGTGGGCTAGCAATGCAGTTTAAAAAATAAATAAGAACAAGAAAAACCAAATAGACCCTAATGTCTCCAGGTCACTGCTATGTTTCCAAATTTGGAAGCTGGAAAATTTTGGCTTTCCAATGCCTTTCTGTCTCATGAAATCACCCCATGGGAACCTTGAGAGAATTGTTAAAAAGAGTAAAAGCATCCATTTTCTGGCTCCTAAATGCAGGAGTTGGCAATATGTGGCTCTCACGAGGATGCTGGACTGTAACGTTTGTCCATCCCTAAGCTAGCATTCCCAGGGTGAAGGATGATCATCCGGAGGGCCACAAATGGTGTTCTTAAATGCACAAACCCTCCTAGCTTCGAGGAGGACAAATCTAACAAAACAGCAACCTTCTCCAGCTGCTTTCTGGTGGTTCTGCTTCCCCAATTTTTGGCCTTGCTTCCCTTCCAGCCACCCCAGGGCTTAAATGAACAGCTGCTGGCCTGCAAGCATTTGCTTCTGAGACTTCGTAACTCTTGTGCAAGCTTAGGATTTTAAAAATGACTGTGGTGTCAGCAGATCCTGGAAGTTAGACAGGCACACCGAAGGGATGAACGGTCTGTGGGACACATGGTCAGAGAAAGGATTTGATTTTTCCCATGACAAGGCTGCACAGAGGCCTGACTCTCAAAACGCTTCCAGGGCTACATTTGACAAGTTAAAAAATTTAATAGAGATTAAAAATTGGCTATTGGCCATAAGCCCCTATCACTTCTCTCTGTGTGTGCACATGCACACACATGCATCCACACACTCTTGGCAGCTGAGTCATTCAATATGTAACTTAAAGATTAAATACCCATTGCAACATCCTCATTTTATACTAGGTCACGATTGCCTGCAAGGCTGTCTGTTTTTCTCACACCATCACAGAACCTAGAATTGTCGGTTACAGTACCTCTTTTTTTTAAAAAAAAAGTACCATTGTTTCCAGCAGGTCATCCCCCATCCCAGTTCCCCAATTCTTAAGTGGCCAGAGAGTTGCAGCGATAGCAGTTCCATTTTTTTCTTATCACTGTTCAGTCATTTTCAGCACCGAGTAAGCATTTTACGGTTCTTCATACAATGTCTGGACATCGTTGCTGATTCAAGAAGGCACCCTCGTATTTGCACCTGAGTTTTGTAATGAGCAGGCAGCTCTCCTCCTGGCTCTTCTTGCCTGAAAGAGAACAGATGGAGCTCTTCCTTCCACGCAGTGCTCAGAACCTTGGCCCCTGCCAGCTGCAAACATGTGGGATACAGGATTTCCCTCACCACAGCGACCAAGAGTTAAACATAATGGATGAGAGGGAGGCAGCTGGGCATGATATTGCTCCATTTTTCGGTCCAATTTATATCACCATACTGGTAAACGAAGTGGGGGAAAGTGAAGAAAAAAATGTCCAGATGTAACTGGAAAAGTTCTGGCTTTTTCTGGGGTACAGAAACCAGCTAATTCCAGTGAAAACAAGAGGAATGCGCTCTTTACATTGAACAGCAAAGGATGGGGAGGGCGGACTGCTGGGTTTTCTTTCCAATGTTCTCTGCCGTTATTCCAGTCACTTTCCCCCCCCCATTTCTTTTCTTTTCTAGCAGTGGTAGATGTCCTTGTCAGATGTCGGCACCTTGGCTTCGGTATCCCAGATGTTGTCGTAACTGAAGTCACTCTGGAAACTCTGGAGCTCCGCATAATCGTGGTAGGCAGAGTCCACCCTTTCCCGTCCGCTTTTCGGGAGGTCGTAGTTTCCTATGCTTTCATCTACAGACGGGGGAAAAAGCTTTAATACATCTCCATGTAAACAGATGAAGCTGCCTCTTAGGGGGAGACCCGCACCCATATGAGACCCACGTCTTTGCTCTCTGGCCTATGAACAGCAAAGTTTCCAATGACAAAGTTTCCCCTCTTGGTGCACTTGCTCCCTTAAGGAAACCCATTCATCCCTCCTCCTCCTCCTCCTTCCCATTTTTAGACATGCTCTAAAAAACATTCCCATCCTGGACAGGCTTTTAATGAGCAGGTTTCTTCTCTGTTAGTCTAACAGACAGGAGCAGAGCTAACAGGTGGGTGTTGCCAGAAAGCAGATGAGCTAAAAACTGGAGAAAACTCCCATGCAGGTGAGGTCTGTTAAGCAGTAAAAACTGACTGTCTGGGGGAGGCTGGTGGACTTTCCTCCACAGAGGCAAAAATGGTCCAGGGTGGCTACCTGATAAGGATGCGACATCGTAGATCTTACGCTGGGAGGTGAGTTGAACTAAGTGATCTCCAAGGCCCCATTTGGTGTACGTGGCCAATTCATTTTTGCTACTTTTTAAACTGGCTCCCTAAGAGTTATTTATGCTGGTTTCCTTTACTGCTTAATTCCTCTAACTTAAAAAATAAAATTCACATATGGAAAGTATTAAGTCCATCTTCCTATCCAAATCCATCATTTTGTACCTTTGACCCAATGCCCTCCCTTCCCCTTCTAGCTGTCAGTGGTTCTCAAGCAGACTCACATTCCCCTTGGCTTCTTACTCAAGAGGAGAACTTCCGCCTGAAAAACGTGGGTCCTGTCACTGAATTACCACCCATCTCCAGAAGCTGTCATATTGCTTCATCTTCGCCCTGAGCTGCTTATGGTAATGCGCTTAAGCTTTCTGATCTTCGACCAGAATCCTTTCCCACACCTTCAGTGGAGAAAAGAACAGACAGAAAGTCGTAGAGCAGCACCGGATGAAAGTCCCACAGTGGCCGTTGAAAGGCCCACAAATGGATTGAATGGAAAGAAAGCACTCCAGCCCTGAAATATTCTATTGCACTGATGACAGTCTTCTCCTTTAAGGATGCACTGGCATCATAGCTGTTGGTTGGCTTCAGTTTTGATAACCTCTCTGCCTGGCGTTGGCCGCTTAACTGCATCACCACCGTCTCTTCTTTTTCACACTTAGGATAGGAACAGATCCTAATGGGGCCCAGGAAAATAGGCCTCTCTCCTGCTTGAGGGACTCACCTGAAGTCATCAAGGACGGCGTTGGAAGTTCTTCCCTGTCCCTTGATAAGGTGCTCTGATCAGATGGGAAAAGACAGGAGAACAAGGCAAAGAGAGATGTCACAAAAGCCACAAAAAGGGAGTTCCGTTGTACTGGCTTTCCCACAAAGGCCCATGGCTAACGATCTAGTTAAGGGCTTGTTCCAACCTATCCCCAATCCTCGTTAGGTTTGTCCTCCTACTAGATCAGACGAAAAAAATGTTACTTTGTAAAAAGATAACAAGAGCTCCAGGGGACGCGGAGAGGAGCCACATCTGGTTTCCCACACTGGCCAACCTGGTAGATCAGGGCTGCCCCTGCCTCCCACCCACTCACACACTTACGGCCTTTTAATCAGAGTTATACTGCACAGCTTCTGACACTTGCTTGTTATTTAGCAACAGGCCCGCCTCCTTTTGATGACCCCTCTGGAACTTGAAAGAATGCACCCCACAATTTTTAAAAATTTTTTACTTAAAAACATCCAGCCTGACACCTGAAGGGCTTGTTGTGCCCTCTTGGAGGCATGAGGGTCATTTTTCTCTTGATTTGTCCCCATCATCAAGTAGGAATTTTAAAATAAAATAGTATTAAGCTCAAGGAGCTGGCTGGAAAGCCCTGTGGTTCTGGTATCTGGCTGCAGAGCCAGAGGTTGGAAGTTCGATTCCCCCCACTGTGCCTCATGGGAGAAGAGCCAGCCTGGGTAGCCTTGAGCCAGCGGCACCGTCCCCAGAGTAAGCTCCGAAGAAGGGAACAGTAAACCATCGCTGAGTATTCTCTACCTTGAAAACCCTGGAAAGGGCTACCATAAGTCAGAATTGACATGACCGCATGCAATTCTTATTATCAGGTCCAAGGAGGCTTTTTTCTTTCTTTCCTAAAAGAGGAAAGAACTGTGTATCAGTTCTTTCTAACTTTAATCTGCAAGAGGGAGGTACTTCAACTGGAGGACCAGGGTGCACATGGGGACTACAGCTCAGAAACGACTCATCTCACTGTATGCAATGCCTACGAAGCCAAACACCCCAGTCAACAGCAATAATGTCAGCTCTCTGATGTTTCCAGCAGGAGATTCTGGGACTAAATATGCACAGGATGCCATATCATGCTTTTCTGTGGCAAGAAAAACCCACAAATGCTTTGAAGAAGATTTGAAATGTCACTTACTGTGGTCAGATAATCCATGTCAGGAGGAGGCATCACTGAAAAATTAAAAGTAGTAGGACTGCATCTCTGAGCCGCTGCTGGCTCTCGCCAGTGGTGGCCAGGTAGTGGCTGGCAGCTCTTATTTTGCACTGGAGGATGATGGGTGATGGGAACAGAGACTGGCATGGCAGGGTAGCCGTTCAGCTGCTCCAAAGAAGACCGTCGGTGGCATCTCGTGAACTTTGAAAGGAAGGAAAATATGCCTGGGTGTAACTAGTGTAACCAGGGAAAAACAAGCCTTCTGTAACCATGTCTTTTATCAGGGTTATTTCAGAGTTGCAAGGAGGCCACTAGTCCTGATCAAAGTTGGGGAGCTGGAATGGGGTCCCTTGGATGGGGCCCCATGAGTAGCCATGCCCATGATGTCATCAGCAGCCAAACCCTCCGATGTCTTAGGCTTCCCAGCCAAAAGGGTGGGTGAAGTTATTCCTTGGAGAATCAGCCTTGCCTCCTGCTCCTCCTCCTCCTCTCCATGTAAGGAAGGCATCAGGGAAGCATAACCACATAATCTCACTGCCAGTGCTTCCAAGGCCACCTTGAATGCACTTGCTGGGAAGAGGGCTGGAAAGCACCCCCACTCATATGTTCCTCACTTGGTAAAGAAAAAGAGGAGAACAGCTGGCTGCCAGTCCTCGCTTCCAGAAGCTGGCAGAGCATTCGGCTGTGAACTTGCCAGCTCCTGGAAATGCCAGCTGAGAACTGGACTAAAGGATATTCTAATAACCTCTTCTCTTGCAAATATAAGAGCTGTTATCTCCGATCTGATTAGGGATAACAGATCCCTGCAAGGAAGGGTGGGGCTTTAAGGAGGGGAGGGACTTCAGAAAGGGAAGTATTCTTCTACAGTCCAGTGTTGGACTTATGTTCAGCACTGCACTGGACACCTTGGCCTCCCCCTCAAAGCTTTACCCCCTATGTCATGCATGCAGTACCTCTTCCATGAACTTGGAATCTGCTGCCCCATGGGAAGAAGGAGAATTGGGTGTATAGGGATCAGCATACATGGGGGAACAAGACAGGGGTGTTCTCTCCACATTCTGGGATGCGGTGCAATTCTCACTTCTTGACAAGTTCCATTGTTTCAGCTATGGAGGAGGGAAAAAGACTCACACTTAAAATGAAGTCTTGACTGCTTTAGAATGAGCTGTTAAAGCTGATCAGTACCATACAGTTGTGAAACTATGATACAAACACTAAAAGGGAGGAATTGACCTTCTATATCCTGCTGGCAGCCGTTTGCCAGGATTTAGGAAATTTCATTTCCTAGCCCTACCTTGAAATGGTGGTGTGTGAACCCAGGGATTTTCACATTCAGCACAGCCAGTTTCCTACCACTGAGCAACAGTCCTTCTTTTGAATTTAAAGCGTATCCTAACAAATTTTCAATCTTTATGACTGTCATTTCTTTAGGTAACCTCCGGATAACTTGATGGTTGCAGAGCCAGAGGCTGGGAGTTCAGTTCCCTGCTGAACGATCCACAGGGTTCCCATTTGGCTTTGCACTTCTAAGATTATTATTGTGCAACTGACTTGGTAAAACTCACTGCCAGAAGATGAAAAATGGCCCCGTGACAAGGGCCATGAGTTCACCTGGTTTCTTTGCATTGTTGCTAATGTTGACACGTTGGAAAGACCTCTGAATGGCTACTTTGCCACAACTGGCACATGGAAATGCCCACATTCTGAGATAATACGTCCTGGATTCTAGAGCTTGTAATAGTGACCTTTACAGACTACGAGAGCAAGAATCGCCTGTACTTGCAGATTACAAAAGAAATCAAAAACACAGAAAGAAATTAAAAACCACTAGGTCAGACTAATGGATCTCTAAAGTGCCAAATGATCTAACCTTATTGCTAGCAAGAATGGCAGAGCTGGAAGGGACCCTATGGATCATCAAGTCCAGCCCCTGTCTAGGAGCCCCAGTGGGGAATCGGACTCCCAACCTCTTGACTCTACAGACAGAGGTGTAAACCAATGAACTCTTCAGCTGTGTCCCCCTCCCCAGCCTCATCATCTACTACCCAATCCTTTGTACAGTGCTTGTTCTGAGGCTATGTTTTTCCAGAGAACTATGGGGTATGGGATGATGGGCTTTCCCTCTATTTTAACGCCATCTGCTGATTGCTTACGTTGTTCACATCCAGGTGCAGTGGGGGAACAGAGGGGTGTTGCTGTTGGGCCAGGGCTGCATACGGCTCATTGTACACTGGAGACAAGACTTCTCCTTTGGAGTGTTCGGGGATGAGTTGGAAATGGTTCCTCTCAGAGTCCTGAGTGTTGGGTGGCGGCGGCTGGGGCGCTGGGGCTCCCTTCCCTTTAGACTTCCGAGAACTTCCTTTTCTTTTCAGTTCAGATTTTGTCACCCCTGTGGATACTGGGTTTCCTGGACACTGGCATAAAAAGGAAGAGGATAAGAGGAATGAATGATTCTATCATCAGACATCGGCTTTGAGTTATTTGCATTTACCTCCAATGGGCACTTTAAAAGAAAAACCTGAAACAAGATGACTGCATGTAGGCCAGCATCAATATTTATTAATCAGAATCCAATTGTGCATTTATACCATGACTTGGCATGCAACTAAGAACATGAACAGCAGCCCTCTAGTTAGCAACGATCACTGCCATAATTTACTCAGCTATACTTATTTCATCAGTAAATCCACAACAGGATTCGGGCCATTGCATTTTCACTCTGTCTTTCCACTTCACAAAACACTGCTCGGCCTATTTGAAACTGTGTGGAAGAGTGAGTGAAGGGAGGGGAAAGTACAGATTAAGAAACAATCTATGTAAAGCTTGGTCAAAACTACTGCTTTGAATTAATCTCAGAAACCAGCTGAGGACCAATAATGTTGATCCCAAAACTGGAGTCACACAGACAACATGCTTAGCTCTGCTCAGGAATCCAGAAGCTGCATTCTGGACCAGTTATAGTTTCTGAACACTCTTCAATGGATGCTCCATGAAAAATATAATACAGTAGTCTAGCCCAGAAGCAACTGGAGTCTATGAATAAAGGACCCACCATATGCCTGCACTAAGAATTATGCTCAGAGTGGTGCCTCTCCTGACCACAGGAATCATCCATATTAAGAAAGGTTTTCTTTATATTCACTTTCCAAAACTCCTACTTACGTGGACGAGTTGAGGTAGAGGACCATCAGCTATCTGGTTATCTGGCATCACCTTGAATGACTGCTTCTCGGCAAGGGAGCCCGTACTGTTCTGAGAGTGGTGGGTGGAGGCCGCCCCCTTCCCTCCTGATGCCCAGGAGTTTGTTCGGCCATCAGACGTGAGTGAACCTCTCCCACTCCCTGAGAACTAAATGAATGCGCAAGGGAAAGAAGAAGAGAAGAGGGAAATCACTAAGGTTTATTAAGAATGGCAAGGCTGAAGTTGATTTCCACTGTGCTAAAAACAGCTGGATATAGACAATGGGGACCCAGGTTCAAATCCTAAGTAGATATGAAGATCTCCAACCATATTCCAAAAATCTCTAAGAATCTTGAGGTAGCTGAAGATTTAATGAACTGTCAGCTGCTGAAAAGTACGATAGAAATGATGCATAACATCAGGCTTTTCAGCATAGTCAGTCCCGTTCTCCTAATATTCTTGGTCACAAGTTGATGGGACCAAGAAACAGGACAGGGCCGTAAAACCTTTGGGGACATCTCAGTTCTCTGTGGCTCCCACAGAATACCTGGCCATGAAAAAATGGCTACTGCTTTTTCAGAGTTCTTACAACTGTCCTTTATAGTAGGTCAGAATAACCTCTTCTCATATTGCTAATGGGAAATTGAGTCTGAGAAGCAGTTTGTGGACCAAGTCTCCCTACAGAGATCATGGTAGAAGCAGGACTTAAGAAGGGCTTGGGGCTTGATGGTTGTCAGCTGGAGGGAGCAGGAGCAGGCTAAATAAACTGGCTTAAAATCAAGTAAAGGTCCAGTTTGCCATTGAGTGTAATTCTTGCCTCCATATGATATCCACACCACAAGCAACCCTATTTAGTCTGGCTCCTTTAAGAAGGGGGGAAAAATCTCCAGCCTTGCCCCCTCCTGTCTTTTCCTGCTTCTGGGTGGAAGATTTCATTTTTTTTCCCTTTTAATTCTCTAGGTTTAGTGCATAAGCACTGCCCTAATTTTTTAAAAATCGTTTTGCTTCCTCCCTCTGCTCTGTGGAGGAGCAGAGGAAGAAAGTTTTCAATTTCACTCTTGAATGTAAGTTTTTGATTTCTATCTTTAATTGCCCAATTTCCCCATACCATTAAAAGTTTAAGATGTGTGCTTAATACACTGCATTAAAAAAAATAGAAATGTTGAATCTCACCTGAGCATGGTGTGGTGGATTTGGTCTTGAAAAGCTCTCTGATCCAGAAAGAGAGGAATCAGCGTTGTGGAACTGAGCTGTGTTGAGACAGTAGAGCCATTCTTTATAGTCTTCATAGCTGGGGCAAATCACCCGAATGGAGTTGATTAATCGGCCTGCAAAGAGCAGCAGTCACATCTGATGGATTTCACAACAGCAACAAACCAAAACAAAATGTGCACACCTAAATCATGGTTAGGAGCTCCCTTATTGACACAGTATTTTGACTGTCAGTGGCTCACAGAGACTGCTAAATTCATGTCCAAATTTCCCCTTTTAAAAGCCAATTCTCTTCTCTTAAAGGAAATCCCTTTTGAACATTTCTAAGAATTATTTTAAAGATTGTTACCTTCTATTAGAAAAGAGGTTTTCTGGTTTTCTTCAAAATGCACTTGGATTGCATTAAGGGGCAGTTCTCCCTGTTGGCAGTAAAAATCAGAATGAGAAAATTTGGTGTGAGGGGGATGAAATACACAGACGGGGCTCCCATTTCCAGGTTTAAACATAAATATTGCAGAAAAAGACAGATTTGAAATCAAGGACTTGCGTGTGGTGAACTAAAAACTGTTGTGAGATGTTACAGCAAGCATGTTTTTAAAATTTTGCTTTATGTTTCAGGCCACAACTGATACAAAACAGGAGAAAAGTGCTGATTTTTTGTTGTTGTTGTTGTTTACAACACAATCCTGTACATTTCTATTTGGACTGGAATCTCACTGAGCTATTTACTATATACAGTAAGTAGATTTAGAATTGCTGACAACCATCTCACTGTGTTCCACTTGTTAATAACCCTTGATTCATATAACATATCCTGCTTAGGTTTACCTGAAGGCAAATCTCACTGAGTTCATTGGGTCTTGCTCCCAGAAATCTGACTACGGGATTACAGCTTGAATTGCTTGCTTCTCAGCACACCTAAAGAGTGGGTTACTGGGTTCAGTAACTCCTTTATCAGATCACTAAAAAGCGACAAAGGGAGTGAGTTTCTTAGTTGTTTAGCATTTTTTTCAGGCTCAGATGATATAAAACAGGGAGGTTGTGGATGCAGTGTATAGTCCAGAAAACCTGGCTAGATGTAATAGTTATAATTTTGGTCATTAAAATATATATATATATGATTCTATATTTTAAATTGGGCTGGCTGGATAACTCAGTGGTTTAGATTTCTGGCTGCAGAGGCAGAGGTTGGGAGTTTGATTCCCCACTGGGCCTCCTTTGAGAAGAGCCAGTCTGTGTAGCCTTGGGCAAGCTGCACAGTCCCCAGGGTGCTCCCTGAAGAAAGGGATGGGAAATTATTTTTATGTATTCTCTACCCTGAAAAAAGATAGCTATGTCAGAATTGACACAGTGTCTGATTCTGTTCTATTCCATTTTATATTATGGAACACACCAGACTTGGACTATTATTAAATTTTATGATGTAACTGATATTTTAATATCCAAAGATGAGAGAGCTGGGAAGCCTTGAATTTTACAGATTTCTACATCTTTAGGTTTTTCACAACCCCCGCTATAACAACTTGAAGCTGATGCCGTAATGCCAAACAATTCCATGACCCCAAGGACTTTGCTCTCTGAGAGATCACTGTAATCCACCCCCCGAACTTCAGAAAGTCTCTAAATTTGTTTGCTCTCTTAAATAATTTGCTCAAGATATAGCGGTGGATTCAGTTTGATTTTCCAAGTGACCTCGAGAAGGTGAGGATCCCTGTGAGGAACAAAGTTCTGCTTTGAACAAAGAGCAGACAAAATTTAAAGGTGCATTGTAGGCGTGTGGGTGCACAAGAGGGTGAAAGGAGGTGAAAGGGCAAATGCGGGGGGGGGGATATACGGGTTAGTCTCCTCTTCAGAAAGGGTCTAATACCTAAAGTACTCATAAACATGTCCTGCTGATGGGATCTCCAACAGGCATGGGGTAACCAGAATACCTGACTAGGTAGCCTTTGGTTTGATCCATCAAGGCTCTTCATATGCATTTCACAAGTTAGAGGGAGCCTAGTCACTAAAACAGTTTTGAGTAACTGGGTCTGTAATGCAGTCTCTCTCTCTCTCACACACACACACACAGAGACATATTCAGGTTTTGATGTTCTGAGTCTACCTGAAACCCGCCTAGTAGCTAGGAGAGAAAATAGCTGTCTCGGCTGTATTGCAAAGTATTTGAGGCTGGGTTCTCTCTCTCTCACACACACACACACACACACAGACATATTCTGGTTTTAATGTTCTGAGTCTACCTGAAACCCGCCTAGTAGCTAGGAGAGAAAATAGCTGTCTCGGCTGTATTGCAAAGTATTTGAGGCTGGTTTGGTTTCGAATGTGCAATTAAGAGCCATTAGCTTTACAAAATGCCTACACAATCATATATTCATGACCACTGATCCAGCTGCCTGCATTTCTGAGCTCTTGTCATGCAGGGCAGATGGCAAGGGAAACTGTCTCAATGAGCGACTGTACTTTCCAATTAACCACAATCCTAGTGCTCACAGAGATAACATCTTGAACCGCATAGCTAGTATTCAGCTGACTAAAAAGCCTGCTTTAGAATAAGTGTGTGTGTGTGGGGGGGAAGAGTTAGAGATGATTTTGGTCCCCCCCCCTTGCTCCATTTCCTCATTCTTCCTTTCACAGGCCACACACCCTCGCATGGAGCTGCTTCTTGAGAAACAGGAGCAGGGACAGGCACCCTCTTTTTAGTGGACGAAACTTGCAGAGTGGCTCGCTCTGTCCAGATGTTACCCAAGGGATGCTTAAGTACCCAACTCCTGGTGTGCATTAGTGGCACATCTTCTTTCTAATGCTCATCCCTCTCCCTGTGTCTACAAAGCAGCCAAATAAAGAGAGAGGCTACAAAATCTGTGCTTCTAGTTTTCTGTGCTAGAGCCTGGGATGGGCAAGAGAAATGGGTGCCCGCTGACCCACAGGGTGCCTCTTACACTCACCCACCCCTGTGCCTCCAACTGTCGGGAGCCACCCCTTCTTGACCTCAGACCCCATTCGGCTTGCCATCCACACCTCCTCGCCTGTCTCTCCTGGCACGGCTAACCATTCCTCACCGAGGCGTGCCACTGCCATTAAAGCCTCCAGTGCATCGTTTCCACACGGCGGGCTCTGACAGTAACACCCACACGCCCACTGCCGTCACTAATAGCCCCACAAAGAGGAGTTTGCGGTTGGCAGAGGGTTGCTGAGCGACAGACATTCTCCAGCAGGGTACACCATGGCAAATGGCTGAGTCTGATTTCCATGCCAGCCTTGAGCCCGCAGCAGGTGGTGTGAGGGCCTGCCTAGCAAGCCTCAAGGGATGCCTTGCGTGACTGCTTAAGGAGCCCCAAGCAAAATGTCAGCTTGGAAGGAGCCGGCAGAGGAGATGGGGCCTTTGGGGAATCTCAATCCATGCTTTCTTCTCCTATGCACATGCAAGTCAAGTGTGCCTCTCCGCTAAACACAATTCACCTGGAGAAACAGAGCAGTCAGAAAAATCCCAGACTTTCAAGAGGAAAGTCCTCCTCCACATGCAAAAGAGGCAAACACCATCATCATGTGCTATCAAGTCAATTCTGACAGATGGTGACCTTTTTCAGGGCCTTCCAGGTAGGGAGTACGCAGCTGTGTTTTATCCTTCCTTTCTTCTGGGGTGGGAGGATCCCTGGGGACTGTGCAGCTTGCCCAGGGCTACCCAGGCTGGCTCTTCTCCCGGGAGGGCCAGTGGGGGGAATCAAACTCCACAAACGTCTGGCTCTACAGCCAGAAACCTCAACCCACTGAGCTATCCAGCTAGCTGGTATTTTAAGGTACACTGCCTCAGGACATGAAGGCTCTATTTAGTTCTCTTGAGTAATAGCCATGGAAACAAGGTGAACAATTTCTAAAGTTCCATTGTGCAATGTATTTATCTCCAGTAATGCTGGTTAGACTGCATTTATTGTACATATACACACAGCAGGCACCAAAACCAAAGGTACATATACACACAGCAGGCACCAAAACCGAAGTGACGCTTCTCTTTCTCTCTCTCTCTCTTCCTTTTATATTATTTCCTTTTCAATTTCTCTTTCTCTCTCTCTCTCTCTTTCTTTTATATTCTTTCCTTTTCAACCAACAACACACAAAGCAGCCTAGATTTCAGCATCATCAGGCAGGAACAGAGAACTTCATACGTAACTGCTGATTCCAAGCCCAGACGTGCCGATGGAAAAAAACCAAGTTCCTGCAGCTGGGATCACAGGGTGGTGAGTCTTTTGTTCACTCTGCCATAGCCAGTTTTCACTGCAAGCTGCACCACAAAGCCCGTGCCCTGCTGAACAGGGAACTAATAGGACCAGCGGCCTCTTCCAGAGAATCCACTTAATGGGTTTGGGCCACATGTTACTTGTCCTGGTGCTCTTGACATTCTCCAGCAGTCCAAATCTATTTCACTCAATGGTAAAGCACCGTTTCTGGATGACACATATCCCATAATTCTCCCTCCTGGGCATTCCACCCTATAGACATTTTACACTCAGACACTTTAATGTGGCTCACCTGGGAGAAATGTTTAGGTTTAAGGCTACAGCTAGGGGTAGAGGTAGGGATTAGGCGTAAGACTGTTTTTAGACCTTGTTTTATTATGGTATGATATTTTAATGTTTAGTGCTTTGTTTTGCTGTACTTCTCTTTTAACTGTTTGTATACCACCCAAAATAGTGCTTCGGTACTAATGAGGCAGTATAATCAACCCACCAACCAATCAGTAGGACTAGGGCTAGGTTTAGGGTTAGGGCCAGGAATAAAGGTAGATCTAGAGCTAAGGCTCACCATGAGTAAGAGCAATAAGAAAACAAAAATAGTGTTTGGAAAATCGGGTTTATCATGTGATTCCCCAACTGTTGGGAACACACAATGCTTCTGTTGATTAGATTACATTTATGGCTACAGAATTTGGTCTCGGCACCAGAGACCACTAGATGTGAATGCCAGAGTGGGATGGCACCCAGTTCAGCCAGCTGTCAGTGTCAGTTGGATCCAAGTATGTTACCCCCCACAAAAACCACAGGCATTTTTTTTCTGTAACAACTGCCCCACAGTGTGACCAGAGAATCCGCGCATTGCATCTAAAGCTACCACAAAGATTTGCTCTTTTTAAAAGAATCCCAAGATTGTCTTCTGGCTGTCCTGAGCAGAAGGAAGTGAATCCAAGAAATGCTTCTTAATGTACATTCTGTGCTCGGCTTTGGATTTCGAGGCATAGAAATATGCAAGTCTTTCACAAAGCGTGAAAGGCAGGTGCCTATAAAGCGGTGCACATTTCTCTCCGAAAATTGCTGAAAACAGCAGGGGAGGGGGAGAGAATCCATGTACACTGCACCACATTTTCAAGCATCTGAACACCCCAAATTTGTTTCATTTATACAAATATAGATGATTTCCCACAATCATCATCAACAACAAAGAACTGCATAGCCGGAAGGGACCATAAGGAACATCAAGTCCAACCCATGTCAAGGAGGCACAGTGGGGATTTGAACTCCCAGTAAGAGTGATTTGCAACATTCTTTTTTAAAAAAAAAAATCCCCAGAGTGGTCGACCAGACCAGATGAGCGGGATATAAATCAAATAAATAAATAAATAAATAAATAAAAATTATAGAACACAAAATAATAAAAAAATACAGGCAGTTCGGTAACATTGATCATTCAGGAGCCAGGAAAAATATGTGTGTGGAATAACCAGTGGCTTGATGGATCATTTTAGTTAGGATTGCCGCTGACACAGAAAAGTCCATCCTTCATAACCCAGTCATTTTGTTTCTTCTGTTCTTCTAAGAGATGCTGGAGAGAAGGTGCTCCTTTTCTCCATATGACAGAATCTATGTGTCTGAAGACACACGAGGCACTAACCATATATCTTTATTTATCCGATTTATATACTGCCCCATTAGTGCAAGCATATGCCATCTGTGACCAAACCTCCAGCTCTGCCCCGCCATGAAATGTTGGGATTGGGGGGCACCCTTTGCCTAGACCCTGAGCCACATTCACCTCCACCTGCAGTCTGAACTGGTACATCCCAGAAAGAAATGTAGAGTCTCTGTGAGAACTAGGCCAGAGATGGGCTGGGCTGACGAGCCTGGAGTGAGTTCATGCCGCCAGCGTCATAAGAAAGCTCTTTTCAGCCACCGCCCTGCTCCTCCTGAGCCAGCTAACCACAAATATTCAGAAGCCACAGTCTTCCAAGAAGGCAAAAATGTCTCCAAGGTTCCCCAGTTTTCCACTCGTGTTTTGTACCTCACGGATGCTCCAAGCTTTCTCAGAGTGATAGAGGCTGCTGAAGCCAAGCCTTCACAGCCACCCAAGACAGAAAATGTGGAAGAAGGCTGGTGAGCCATAGCGGCTCAAGACCGAGCCAAAAATCAGGCAGCTCTCAGTTCAAACTTCAACTCCCTCTCCTGTCAAGTCCCAAGAAGGCTTAGCGAGTGATGGTCCTCAACCTTTAGCTCTCTAGAACAGTGGTTCCCAACCTTGGGTCCCCAAATGTTCTTGGACTACAACTCCCAGAAGCCTTCACCACTAGCTGTGCTGGCCAGGATTTTGGGGAGTTGCAATCCATGAAAACATAGGGATCTAGAGACTGGGAACCGCTACAAGTCTAGAATGTTTTGAACTTCAGCTCACAGAAGAGAACATGAAGGAATTCTGAGGTTCAAAACATCTGGATGGTCAAAGTCTGAGAATCATTAGATTATAAGATGAGACCTTTCTCTTCACTTTTATCTTATCTCATTAACCTCAAGTCATCCCACCCAGAACATCCCCTGTCTAGCAGAACAATAACACTGAACTACTTTACCAGGCTAGTCATAACAAGTTTTGGAGAAAGATAAGTATATGTTCAGCACATTGTATGTCATAGAACTGCAAAAATTATCAGGAATGCAAGACTCAGTCCGTTAGGAGGATTAATTAAGTTTCAAAAACTCTTGTTGCCGATTAAATAGATGCTCTAAGAATCGAGCAGCATTTAAAAAAAAACAAGTAATGTTTTTAATACAAGCGTTTGCAAAAACTACATGTAGAAAAAAAAATCATCTCTCACCCAATGGTGGGAGTTCCTTTACCAGCTAAGTCAATGATGTGAATCATGGAAAAACGAAGAAAGAATGTTTTTCTGTTTTGGAAACACTGAGTTGATTTTTTTTTAACCCCGGGCAAATTTAATCAACAGATTAATAGGCTGAAACTTAAAGAATGAATCAATGAAAAATTATTTAAATGGAGTTGCAGCCCTACTTGTTTTTAGACATGCAGAATACATGTTGAAAAGCACATTAAGTATGTGAAGAGCACAATAAACAAAGCAGGTAGAAGGAGCGTAAAAAGTTCTACTTCCTACCTTAAAGTAGAGGCCATTGCGTTCTTCTGATACAATTACGAGGGTGGATGGATACAAGATCAAGAGCCTGTCGTGCTGTTCCTGTTGGAGATGAAGAGAGAGCTTCAGACCGAGCTGCAACTGCTAATACAACCTGCCTAATTCTAGTCCAGCCTTCCACCAGCTCTGTGCCTTTCAGACACATGGAAACACCACTTCCAGTATTCCCCTCTTGTCATCAGAGGGCGGTGGCTGCTGTAGTCCAGAATATCTGGAAAATATTTGGCTGGGGGAAGGCTGTTGTTTCTGATGAAATATTAAGGTATCCAAAGGGGAAAGGTCCCACCTGGAAAGGCAAATGCTGCAGCTTCACTTTAGACACACACAGGACGTTGCCCAGGGATTCCCGCTGGGTCCCTCTCCACTCTTGCACGGGAGCATTTTGCACGGACCACCGGAACTCCTCCCTCCCGATAGAGCTCTGCTTCCATTCATTCTAAAATGGAGAAGAAGGGGGGGGAAGAGCCCATCTTAATGCTCAATATAGTGACAGAGAAGAGCTTGATGGATACCCTGGATGGTCAGAAAGATGAATAAGTGGATCCTAGGTCAAATCAAGGCGGAACTTTCTCTGGAGGAAAAAAATGTTGAAACTGAGACTGTCCTATTTGGGATACATCATGAGAATGCTAGTCTCTCTAGAAAAGACCATCATGCTAGGAAAAGTTGAAGGCAGCAGGAAAAGAGGAAGACCAAATATAAGATAGACTGAGTCTGTAAGGAAGCCATGGCTTTGAGCCTACAGGACTGCTGAAGACAGGACAATTTGGAGATCATTCATACAGTCACCATATGTCAGATGCAACTTGATGGCACGTAAAAGCAACAACAAATGTCCAATGCTTGACATGCACACACAGACTGAATTCTTTCTGGCTCACCCATACCACAAGAAATCCAGACACAGCAAAAAAAAAAGTTTTTAACCCTTCTGAGTGGAATCGCAGAATTGTGGCTAAGATTTCTCCAGGGCCAACCCTGCCATTGAGGCATCATGAAAAGGCAGCAAATGATTAAGGCACTTAATATATTGTTTCCATATCTTTTCTTGGGGCTTTGTTTGTTTGTTTTTGCTGGCATTGAAGGGTGGGATACCATTTGCTCTTTGGCTCCAGACAGAAAAAAATGTCTTAGGCTCAGCTCAGGCAACGTTTGAACAACACAGGAGCCCACAAACTGGTCCAGCAGGTTTTTCTTTCATCTTTTTTACGTGCTGAACCATCTTCGGCTTTTCAAGCCGGAAAAATCTTCCTTTTATATGACCCCAGCGGCAGCTGTCAAAAGCCAGACTGGAAACTGTGATAGATGAGAAACCCCCATCCATGCGCACCCTCACAGCCCACATGCTTCTTTGTCCTGGGCAGAATTACTCACCTTGTTTGCAGGAGGGAAACAGATACCCCCCCTCCTTAAAAAAAAAGAATAGTTTCACAGCACAGGAAAAGAGCTGTTCAGCTCAGGAATTTCCAGGAACTGCTGACGACAGGGCCAAAACCACACATTTCTCTCACAGGTGCCAGGACTGGGATCCAGTCCAGTTCACACCTGCTAATTTGCTCTTTCCCACGCTGACTAATCTCTTTTGTTTTAGAACAAGGTAAATACGGTAACTTGCAGCCCACCCACATTCCCAAACTCCATGAAGAGGAGAAGCAGGGCTCAGAAATGGAGGAGTTGGGATACTGTGGTTCTGAAGGGACATTGAATGAGTGGTTTTGCCCACTGGAGATAGGCATTATAAAATTTCATAACTTTGCCGGAGATTAGCGCTAGCACTAGGTGGAAGGCAGCAGGGAAAGAGGAAGGCCCAATACAAGACGGACTGACTCCCAAAAGGAACCACAAGAGCAGAGCGAGGCTGTAGAGGACATGGCATTTTGCAGATCGCTCAATCATTGGGTCGCCATAGATTGGAGGTGACTTGTTGGCACATAACAGCAGCAACACTTGCCAGATTCTTTTTATTCCAAAAATCCACCAAACTATAGATTTTGTTAATGGATATACAATTCAGCAGTCACATTCCGGGATTAACCAGCTACCTTAAAATAGAAGCTGCTGCATTCCTTGTTTTTTTTTTTAACCACCAAAAATCAGTTATGTTTTTAATTACTATTTTTAAATATGGAATTGTTGAAAATTGCCTTTAAAAATCAAATATCTTGAATACTGTCCTTGCTTTTCACTAATTCAGAATTTTATAGGTTTCTTTAAATTTATGATTTCATTGTATGGCCTTATTGGTTTCAGTGTTTGTTTGTTTTTTTTGCATGGGGTTTGAGGGTATTGCGAGTTTTCATCTTGCAAACCACTCAGTAATGAGTCAGCATATAAACTGAATAAATAAATAATGTAATTTTTTAAACAAAATAATGAAGGCTATCTTAGGCAGCTATGTGATCGGAAAGGAGGGACAGAAAGATTTGAAATTCAAATCATGGCCACGCAGTGACCCCATTTTTAAAAAATGTGTTGTAAACTGCCTCGAGTCCCTTGAGGTAGAAAGGCTGAAACAAACAACAAACAAACAAACCAATTTAAATGGTTGTCCCCATTAGAGTAGGCAAATTGCACCTATAGTATCTATACCAGAGTGGGTCTCCCCTTCAGGAAGTGATTCAATGAGCCTTTTCAAGCTGAAAGGATAGCACTGGATTTAGGACATCATCTTGAACCCGCTGCTCCTTTCCGACATTCTGCCAAGCAAGCGCTCACCTGGGTCAGGAAGGGGAAATCAAGGCTTCCTCCGTTCAAGTGAATCTGCTTCTCCAGGTGGTACAGCCAGCGTTTGACCTCCGACTTGCTGGGGCAGTAGACGGTCAAGGGGCTCAGCAAGGGACCTAGAGAAGCAGAGGTGAGGGTTCCTGTTGAGTTTATTCCATCGCCACCACACACACATACACACACCCCGCAGTACGAGATCCTTGCAGGGTGGACATGGGCTCTTACGATATCCCCTTGTGCTGTCAATACTCCATTTGATTAAAATCTCCCTGCACACAAAAATCTAACACATGAGGGAATACCGGAACCTTTGTTCCTTATTTTATAATCGGACATATCCAGAATTACCCTTTTCTTCTTCTTTTTGTTTTGTTTTTGTTTTGTTTTTTGCTTGTTAAATATTGGGTGGGGGACCTTTAAAAAGCTGCCTTGGGAGAAAAGCGGAGTGGAAATATTTTAAATAAGTAAATAGATTAAATACCCCTCCTGCCTGCCAGTTGCAATACCCTTGAAAAGACCAGAGTGTGATTTTACTGACCATCCAGACCAGCCAAAAAAGAGGACAATGTACGCCATTCCATCTTCTCATTATCCTCATCAAAATTCAGTGTTTATTGGGGGAGACAATTCCCCCTAAGGATTTTCTATATTTTGAATATATTTACAGAGGTTGGGGTTTAACCCTTCTCTCTTTCTTCTGTGCATTTAGTGGTGCTTTGACTACTTACGAATATCCATTTATGGGTTTCTTGTACGGATATAGAATACAATTCTATCAACAGGTTGAATGAGCATGGGGCTGATGCCCCACAAAACACTATTCTGTACATCTCAAAGACTTTGTAATACAGCATTTACATTGAGGAGCCCATTTTTGCCTAGCTGTGCCAAGAAAGTCTCTCTCTCAGTTCTCGGCCAAGTAAAACTGCTCCCAAGCAACAGTCTTTCAAATGGGACAAGCCAACCAGTCATTCTGGGACTCTTCACCTCGCAGGGAGTTATGGATGGACCCTCCTGGCAATTGGCAGGGCCAGCTCTACTATTTGGCAGAACAAGCCAATGGTGAGCTTAGGTGGTTAACATGGAGTTGCTATGAGCTGCACAGACTGTTACAGCCTTTGGGATAAAACAGTGGTTCCCAGCAACTCCCAGTAGCTTTCAGAACTATCGGTGCTGGCCAGCATTTCCAGTCCAAGATTGTCTGGGGACCCAAGGTTGGAAATCACTGGCATAACTGCATGGGTTCTCCCACCACCATTACTGAAGGAAAGCATCACTGCGAGTCCCATTGGCTTTTGTACACGCAATGGGAGGGAGACTCCAGTAGCAGAATGTCTCGGGCAAAAAAAAAAGGATATTTTCATGCTCTAAGGAAGTGCTGGGATGCAAATGGGACCCAAGGATGTGCTCTTTTCCAAACTAGTCCTCCTGTCCACAGTGCCTTTTCAGCTCTCAGATTCTATGCTGCTTTCAGTTCTGCTCTTTCCAAAAGCCAGACATTGCCTGAGCCACAGTTGCTGGTTCCCGTTTTTTTTCCAGCTGCCTTTGTTGACCACAGCCACTCACCGCCTTGTCCAGTCACTGCCCCAAACACTAGTGACACGAGCCCCCTCCCACTTCCTGTCAATGAGATCTAAGCTGTGCTGAATAACCAATCTTTCCTTACCCCACCTCTTGTGAAAACAAACAGGAGGCAGACGCACTGGTAGCGTTGGGAGGGCCGAGATAAATCCAGCGCTCACCCAGCCGTCATAACAAATCATTATCAGCAAAATTAGTACTTTAGCCTCCTGGAGAGCTCTCTGGTATGTCAGGCTCAGCGCAAACAACAGACGAATGAATGTTTCCAAGGGCCTGATTCTGCAAATCATGGACAGAGTCACCAACAGAACACTGCAGAGAGAAAACACTGGGCTACCTAGATGGGTTTCCTCGGAGTCACAGGGCTGTAGCAACTCCTCCAAGTTCTTTAATGGCCAGGTTTGCAAAGTGGGTGAGAGAACCACAGCGAAGGCTGAGGTTCTGCAGGCACTCACATAATGAGCAGTTCTTTGGGCTCATCGCCAGGGCATGAACTTTCCCCCTCCACCCTGCAGCTTCACTACCACCTCCTCCCTTAAGGGCATGTCTGTATGAAAAGAAAGCCTGTGTTGTTGTTGTCGTGATCGTTTTTTTTTAAGTGGGAGGGGGCAAAGTATCAGGGAGGGGATTCAGGATGAGATGACAGGCAGTGGAGAAACATCTCCTTCTCAGCAGCCTCTCGGAGCTGGCTGGATAGCTTTTAGGGAGTTAGATCTCTGGTTGCCAGAGGTTGGGAGTGCAATTCCCCACTCTGCCCCCTGGGAGAAGAGCCAGCCTGGGTGGCCTTGGGAAACCTGCACTGTCCCAAGGTTACCCCCAGAAGAATGGAATGGGAAGCCTAAGGATTCTCTTCCTAGAAAACCCTGGAAAAAGGGGCTGCCAAACAGTCAGCACTGAGTTGACAGCGCATGATTAATAGCAGCCTCTAGGGAGGTGGAGGAACCAACCAGTAAAGGCTAGCTCTCTTTGGAGAAACAGTGGAGAGTTGAACTCCCAACCTCCATGGCCAGATGCCTAACGTCTGGAGCTATCCAGCCAGCTCTTGATCATATAAACTAGTCTTAAAACAAGAAGTGTGTAAGCTCAGGTTGTGTCATGTGGTTGCTTCCTATGTTTATGGCTCCCACTAAGCTTATGCTGTGACACTCTTGAAATAGTGTATAATAGTGTTTGACAAAGCAAATTTCCCACCCAATATGGACCTCCTGTCAGGGTCTGAACCTTGACACACAACTGATTTTGCCGGCCCCAAATAATAGGCCAGCTTACCATTACAGCACCATTATTAGCCAAAGTTGGAATTGATGCTGCTATTTCTGATGTTACACATTTTTTTAAAAGCAGAACTCCTCCTAATATTTCTTATCCTATATTATTCGCACACTAACAGCACTTGGGCACAACCAAAATGTGCCACGTTTTAGCCTACTTTGCATTGCATAAAACTGTATACGTGTGGAAGGAAGCACCATCACACCCCTTTCCTCTGCTCACTGGCTCCAACCCCAACATGTTCAAGGCTGTAATTTTCAACAAGCCTTAGGTACCCAAAATCTAATGCATGTTGGCTTAAATTGTGCAGGAAAAATCCACCCATGTGAAATCAATGTACAAGCAGTGGGTGTGTCATCCACAGCCCCAGCTGTATCCCCATGTTACTGCCCTTTGAGGATATCTGAGGACAGTGGAGTTGGAGCCAACATCTCAAGAGGCTGGGGAAGACAGGCATGCTCTCCCATCCTCATCTCTACACATGAACTGGAATGAGGCCCAACCCAGTCCAGAACAGCAAAGAAACCCAAGCTCATCCTTACCTGTAATTTGAAAAGCATGAACCTCTTGCTGGGCTCCTTTCGGACTTTCGAGCTCGTTCAGCTGAAGCTCTCTCAGAGGCAGCAAACCCTGTGGAAGCAGAAGGTGACCACCTTTAAATTATTGGTCCAGTTTCTGGACATCTCTTTTCAAATCTGGAGCTATTTCCTGCAGGAAGTCACTGAATCACTCTTAGTGAGGGCCACAGAGGAAGCTTATTTCCAAAAGGCTCTACTCCTACACAAAGCTAGATCTAACTACTCTCCTGTGACTCAGCAGTGTCAAGAAAGCGCAACTCAGCACAATCAAGGGGAGCACGGAGTAAACAAAGAGAAAAACAACCACTGAGTACACTCTTAAAAAGCCAGACCTTTTTGAAATACAAAAGTGTTTTTGTCATTTGGCTTGGATCACACATCCCTGGGTGATTCACCAGCATAAGGCGATGCTTGGGAAAGAATACGTCCTTTGAGATTCCAGCCATAACTCTGAAGACGTAAGCATGGAGATGTACGTTTAATAAGGATGAAGCAGATAGCAAGGGAACTGAAGCTCAGAAAGGTTAGACAGAAATCAATTTGATAGTGGGTGAATAGAATTGGAAAGGCAGGGAGGAAATGGCACACTGCTCTGCTTAAGGGTACAGACACCCAATGAAAGTAGACAACTGAGGAGCCATCAGGTAGCCTGACAGCAGCTTCTCATGACTTCCAGTGTGTGAATTCTGGAAGACTGTTTTTCACAGCATGGTCACCTCTTTTTTAGATTTTCCTCCATCCATCCATCCATCCATCCATCCATTCGTCCGTCCATCCATCCATCCATCCGCCAGCCTGCCCATCCATCCATCCATCCATGGCTCAAATCCTGTTGCTTAGTGTAGGAAACCACACTAGAATAAGCCCACTGAATCAGTAGGGATTTGGTGAGTGGAATCCTTCATAAGTTCCATTGATTCAAATGGGCCTCCATTTAATCATATTCTGCTAAAATATGTTGCAACTAGAGTAGGCCATTTGAATCAACGCAGCTTATGGCAGATTTAACTTATCCATTGATTCAATGGGCCTACACTATTCTAGTGTAACTTACTACAACACGGAACAGGATTTCAGCCTGCCTGCCTGCCTAGGCATTTACAAGCCTGCTGTGGCCTGCTAAAAGGTCCTTTAAAAAGGTGAAAATGGAGCCCCCCAAGTCATCCAGGGCTGCCTCCCTCTTACCTACTCAGGTTCCAACAGCCTCCCAGGGCTCCAGACAGGAGTCTTTCTCTGCTGTGCGCAGAGTAACAAGAATTAAACCTGGGAAGTCCTGCAGTTCAAAGCTGTCTTCTCTACACAACAGGAGATAAAACTTCACACACCCTGTGGTTATCGTTTGAGATTACTGTACAGGCAACCCAGTGGCAGCTGGCTAAGATTCTGTTCTCCTTTACCTGGTAGGTGAGTCCATTGGGACCCAGAGACTGGAAATAGAGGTAGGCTTGAAAAAGTTCCAAGTAACAGTCATTCACCTCCTGCAGCAGAAAAGACACAATCAGAAGCAGTGGGTTTATTGTTATTGTTATTATTATTATTATTTACAAAATGGGAATCGTTTCCTCCCCTCCCCACACATGATGTTTGGATTTTCAAGGTAACTTAACAGCAATCAGTAAGAAGTTAATCTAAGCCAAAACAATACCAGCAAAGTGGTGGAAAACAAGAACAAGAGGCGCCAACAGGAAACCAGCAATCAAAACAATTCAAGAACGATAAAGTTCATTGTCAAGAGGCTGCCAAAGCAAATGTGTCTTAAGTGACTAACCAACAACATCAAAAATCTAATTGCTTGACAACCAGTTAGAAAGAGCATTCCATAATTCTGCAACTATGGTGGAGAAAGCCCCATCCTTCAAGGCCACCCAAACAGTTATTTATTTATTTATTTATTTATTTATTTATAAGATTTTTTATAGCTGCACCATTGCCAGTGATCTCAGAGCGACGTACAACAATATTAAAACTTTAAAAACATTAAAAATAGGAAATATTATAATATCCTATATTTAAAACAGTCATTAAAACTTTAGTAGTAATAAATCCTGCTGCTCATATGGCCAGCTAAAGGATAATATTTAATTAAAATGCTGGCTAAACAGAAAGGTCTTTGCTTGGCGCCGAAAAGCCAAAAGTGTTGGAGCCAGGCGGATCTCTATAGGGAGGGTGTTCCAAAGTTGGGGGGCAACAGCCGAGAAGGCCCTATTTTGGCATGCCATCCTCCTCACCTCTTTCAGGGATGGCACCTTCAGAAGGGCCTCCTGGCCTGATCTTAGAGGACGGGCAGGCTCGTATGGAATAAGAAGAAGTTTTTGAGAGGTTATCCCTGATTATCTTTTCCATATTGCCAATTACTTATGGAAGAAGACAGTCCTTAAGTCACCAGGGCTCTAAACAGGAAGGACTAATCCACTGGATTGCTCTCAACAAAAAAACAGAAAAACTCCTGAATATATGGGGTTTTGGAGATCTAGTCAGTGGTCATCCCGTCTTGATTTATTTTTATTTTATTTTATTGATGTACTTTGTGTTTCTGGTCTTTCATCAGTAGCCCAACATGCAACTCCTGGATATTTATAATGATGATGATCTTAGAACTGCTTAGAGCAGGAAGGGCCTTATGGATCCTCGACTCCAGATCCTGTCAAGGAGGCACAGCAGGGATTTGAACTCCCAACTTTGGCAAACACCGAAACTCTTGAGCTATCCAGCAGTTCCTGGACAGAGAACATGGAGAATCCTGTTTTTGTGTTTGTTTGTTTATTTGTTAATAAGAATGGGCCACAAATGGTACATCAACCCAAATGAGTGAAAGGAAGATTTCAACTGGAGCTTCCCTCCACCATGCTGAGTTAAAAAGACCAGACACACACCCAGCTATAAATCTGATCTTGTAAGGGCAGCACAATCCCATCTAAAGGAGTTCACATAAAACATAAATAACAAACATTATCAATTTATCCTCCCTGCCTGCAAGCAAAAGTTATGACAGGAAACAAAAACAGAAAGGACAGAAAAGGAAAATGAGTGAAACCCAGGCAGTAATTCTGAAGAGTTACGTAGTCGTTCATACAAGAAACTGATAAAATGGAAAGAGTTTAAGTAAAGGAGGAACCAAATGAAGCTGGTCTTTCAGAGATCAATTCTCACTCCTAACACCTTGATCCCATCTGGTACTTCAAGTGATTAGTTTCCCTCTAGCACACCTTTCACTTTTCCTCATTAGCAGAACTCACCTGACAATGCTCAAATTTAAATTTGACCTTGGAGTAATAGATAATTTTCCCCAAATTCCGCACCACTGTCTTTCTCCTCCCCTTCTTAAGCAGGCCTGGGAACCGCTGGTCCAAATTTTCCTTCTCATTCTCCTGGGGTATGAGATTCTGTAACAAAGACAAGCCATTTAAAAATTTATTAATCAACAATGGTCTGCCTCTACTGTTGATTGATCTGAGAACGACTAGATAATCCATCACCCTGGTAAAGGAAGAAGCAGCTCTGAAACCAAAACATTGACCAACCTAAAGAAATGGCTTTATTATAAGTCAAATGTCTCACGAGAAGTACTGGCGTGTGGGTCTCCATGCCAACCAAAGACTGAACATTTTATTATTGCAATGTGGAATTTTTCCTAACCATACCAGGATTAATCAAGAAGGGCTTTGAAACCAAATTAACACCCATCTCTTCCACATCCACCACTGTGATTCGGATGACTTGAAAAGCGGCTAAACTTAATTTGAACTCCCGCCTTCCTGCAGCTAAGCTCAAACCAAACACACAAACCCCTACAGATTTTCTGAGCCTGGCTGTTTATAGCTCGTTTCCTCTCCCTCTGGATTCTGTTTCATCCTACAACCCACACCCATCTCCATATGTCCATCATGCCTCTTTGCCATTTGCTTGGATATCTCTGCAGGAACATGCCTGGCTGTAGTCTTGGAGTGACCCATGCCAGCATTAACTGGATTCAGTGGATGAGCCACTCCCTGACATAGCTCTTACCTGGCTGTATCTACTCATTCATTTAATTCCTGCATTGATGGCCTTACAGCCCCCTTCCAACCCCCTTATCCTATTATTCTATATCATGGACATAACGGAGACCTTCTAATTCTCAATTTAAATCCAGCCCTTGTAGATTCATATCCAGGATTTCTCTAAATATTCATAATCCCCTTCTCAGGGCATCATATTTTGATAGTTTCTCCATTTCATGCACTTCTTTCCTTCTGCTAAAAGACTGAAATATCTTTTTGTAAGGCTTAGTTTAACCAGCAGTAAGAGCTTGATGTAAAATATCTTGCTGTCATTTTGCCTTTGGCCTCGCTCTCTGCTGAAATGCAGTCCTCATGAGGTTTTGTGAAACAAAATCTGAAACTCAAGACTTCCACCTTAGATTTAAATCCACTCATTTTCCATGGAGCATCAAATAAATCTATAGAACCTCTCTGCTTCCTTGCCTCCTCTGGACTACTGAGATTGGACTAACTTCCTCAGTTGAATATAAATCCCAGAGCTGAGAGGACGTGAGTCAATCACGGTCACCAAGATAGCATTGTGGCGGAGTGGGGATTTGAACCTCTGTCATTGTGTTTTAATGGTTTAGCTGCTACAGGAACACTGGGTGTGATCCAGAGGTCGAACCAACTGAATCGGTTGAATTTAGATCATAGAAAATCACCGCAAAGGTTTCGTCATGGCTTCAATGGGAACCAAATTCAAATAGTCGGGTTTGGATCTAACCCGACTCTGTCTCGCTTTCATGTGCGTATGTGTGCCTCTAGGAAGGCAACAAACTAGGCTGCATCTCCTGCAATTCGGCAATTCCATCACACGTCAACTGAAGATGGTCCCTTGAGCACACTTTCAACAGCTACACATTTCAGTGGTCTTGTTTTTTAAACACACGTTCCTGGTGCTTAAAGACTGTGAAAATGGACTTGAAAGCTTGTGTGCATAGACTAATAAAATAATCTCACAAGCTCCAGAAAGTGTTATGCAAGGTTTCCAGTGGTCAGGAGGCAGGGCTTTTAGCATCCAACTTTGCGATTCCCCCTTTAAACACGAAGGACAAGAAATTATGCCATAAATAATCATATATATCCTGCTGAATTCTTCTGCTTTGTTTGATTTGCATAATTGGCAGGTCACGACATCCAGGCTTCCATACAGAATATGGATTTTAATTTGGACACATGCATAAAAGAAAAATCCTTGTTAGCATGCCAGAGAGAAGAGTTCTCAGTTTTTTTTTCTCCTGGAAATGCTATAGTTTTCTGTATGAAAACAAGCTTATGAGTGAGTGTAAAGCATTCAGTGGCATGTGTCCCCATCATTCAAAAGTTGTAAATACCAGACAGCACTTCATCTTCTGTTTTACCCATCATTTTGGTGCATTGCGACTGAGCAGTCCATACAGAATTAACTCCCTCCTTAATCATGTTTGTACAGACACCCAACACTCTTTGCCAGTGTTTATGCAAGGGAAGGCTAAATTAACATCTGTTGGAATTTTTTATAGAGAGGGATGAAGGTGGTGTACACACTCTTCTGTTATCCACTGTTGATATTGGCAAAACAGGCGGGGGTTGTTCTTTTAAAAACCTTCCTACCAAACCTGTTTACCAGACACCCATCATGGAATGGAATAAGGAAGCATGGGCAAGGATGCCTTTTGATGAAACAGGTTGGGTAGGCACCTAAAGCTTTATTGGGGGCAAAGATCCTGCATAACCTGTTCACCAGACCCAAAATACATAGCCAACCCTGCGCCTTGTCACCTCAACAGCCCCAGCTGTCACCAGTCTTCCCCACCGTTGGTGTTGCTGGCCAACAGAGGAGTTCCTGTTCCTCTTTCCAATGTTAGAAAAGGCACGAGCCAAGGCAGACTGTAAGCACCAACTAATGTACTAGTGTGAAAAAGAGGAAGAAAGTATTCTGCACCCTGAAGGACAGCACGGGATCAAGTGGCGGGCAGATAGCACGATCCAGGACAGGACGGCCGGTGGAATTAGCTGGTCCTAATCCGTATCTGCCTGCTTTCTAATAGCTGGTGCCAGTGAGACAGCTGCAAGGGTACCCTTGATAGATGAAGGCTCAGCAGTTATTAACCAGACCAACATTGCCCCAAGTGCTGGGATGCGTGTGTGTGCGTGCGCGTCTGTGTGTGTGTGACCTCACTTCTCTGGAATGGGGTTCGTCTCCCTCCCAAGCAACAGCCACTTCACAGGTCCATCAGCAGCTACAGAGGAATCAGCTAACTGGTGACAAGGTGCTAATTATGGGCAAGCCCGTTTGTAAAATCTTAGGTTCCTCTGGCTTTAGCTGGGCCTAATTGAATCAAGGCATTGCAAAGCCCATAGACAGACATCGCGCCCTTTGGGTAGAGAGGGGATCCCAAGGAAACATCGCCATAACATAAAGAACTTGATCATGAGAATGCAATATGCGCATATCTTCTTTAGAGTATGTTCATTTGGCCAAACATCATCATCACCGTCACCATCATCTTAGAATTGCAGAGTTAGGAGGGACCCTATAGATTATCAAGTCCAGCCCTTATCAAGAAGGCACAGTGGAGAACTGAACTCCCAACCTTTGGCTCCATAATCAGATGCCTCAACCAATGACTATCCAGCAGATCAGTCTCTATTAAAATCAACGTATGCAGGCTTTTGAATACCATACATCTACTGAGATGATAAAACATTTCTCTGGCTTGAAACTCCCTGTTTTAGTTATTTTCCTTTATCTATCCTGACCTCATCCTAACACAGGGACCCAAAGCAGCTTACAAAAACTGTAGAGGTTTTTATATCTATATCTATATCTATATCTATATCTATATCTATATCTATCTATCTATATAGAAAAACTGTACTTTATAACATTAAAACTGTGCTTGTTAATATGATTAGGCAGCAAGCTGGGGCTCATACAATGAGATACTTCTTCATACAGAAGAATTACACATACCAAACCAGCATGCCAGGGGGAAAGTTCAAAGTGGAGCTCCCTTGCCCAGCCTGCTGGGGTTGTGTGTCGAGGGGAGATTAGGATGATGGTGGTTGATGCAGAGCAGCATCTAGAGAACTGGGCTATGATTTTGTCCAGCTCTTCCCATTTCACCCTTTATTGGCCCTCGGTGGTTCTCACAAAGAGATTCCACAGAAGGGTCTAAACCACACTCCCATCCCTCCCACCCCAAGGACTTAATTTAAAAAAAAAATTCTCTTACAAAACACCTTGTTTCTCACAAGGACAACGACAATCCCTTGATAAATGCTCGCTTCCGCACTTCACAGACCAGCCATCCTATCTGCAACTACGTCTGTCGTTGCCCTTTGCCTGGGTTTGGTGGTTCCGGATGGGATGGTGGCACTGTGACCAAGCTTGGAAACATTATTTGTCCAGTTGGCCTCTGGCCACGCTAGCTCACGGGGCGGTAGGGGGCAGGCGTTGCCCAAAAGCTAACCTTTCCAGGCAGTGCTGTCTCCAGCATCCAGCGCTGTGCATCCCCAGTCATAAAGGTACCATCAGCACCTCGACTGCTGAAAGCTAGGGCAGTATGCGATTTGGGCACTAATATAGGCGCACCGTTACTGCTTTCCAATCATGACTGGTTCTTCAGTCTTTCATGCCTTGCTCTGACATGTACAGAAAAGGTGCATCACAAGACCAAAAAAAGTCCAATTTAAAAAAATTAGATTCTGGACTATTTGATGTCTCTCCCCCCGCATCTCCTCCTTCCCACAGGATTCCCGTAGTCCGAAGAAGTGTCCTGTAGGACTCTGAAGTCTGCCTGTTTTTCTCTGTGTCCCTATTTTAGAGCCCTAGGTAAAGGTAAAGGTTCCCCTTGACAATTTTTGTCCAGTCGTGTTCAACTCTAGGGGCCAGTGCTCACCCCCGTTTCCAAGCCATAGAGCCAGTGTTTTGTCCGAAGACAATTTTCCGTGGTCACATGGCCAGTGCGACTTAGACACGGAACACTGTTACCTTCCCACCGAGCTGGTCCCTATTTATCTACTTGCATTTGCATGCTTTCGAACCGCTAGGTTGGCGGGAGCTGGGACAAGCGACCGGCGCTCACTCCGTCGCATGGATTCGATCTTACGACTGCTTGGTCTTCTGACCCTGCAGCACAGGCTTCTGCGGTTTAGCCCGCAGCGGGTCTTAATCCTCTTTCGTTTTCAGGCAAAGAAACAAAATATTCCACCACAACCTTGTGTTTAATTACAAAGGACATATATTCTGTTTCACCCAAAATAAGACCTAACCTGAAAATAAGCCCTAGTATGATTTTTCAGTGTGCTGGTCATATAAGCCCTACCCCAAAAATAAGCCCTAGAAGTGAAACCCCAACCTCCACCATTGTGCAGCA